TCGGCTTCACCTGTGACACATTGTCAACAAAGCTAAATTTTAAGTTTGTGTTTGAAAAGATTGAAAAAAAAGTCATATTCCAAACTGGTTAGGGACTTTAGTCATTCCAGACGGGTTCTAAGTATTCCAGTTTTAGAAAGAGATAATTGCACTAATGGACCAAATCCGAGGTACATTGGTCAAATTATCCATACAAATTTGTTTGGTTTGAACATAAAATATTTGATAATTAAGTGTTTCGTTTCAACATAAAAAATTTGATAATTAAGTTTATTGTTTGAAAGGAAGTATTCTATCGGAAGAAGAAAATCTTAGTATGTATTATATTTGATACTTTTTTTATAGACAAAATTTTGTAGGGTTACACTCTATTACAGCCAAAATTTTGTATGGTCGATGATATTTAGCCTCTCGGTACGGTTTACAGAAATTCTCTTGGTACTGTTTACAGGCAAAATTTTGTCCTCCAAGCAAAATTTGTATGGTTGATGATATTTAGCCTCTCAATACGGCTTACAGGCAAATTTTGTATGATTAAGGATATATTTACGGTTTACAGGCAAAATTGTGTATGATTAAGGATAAATTTACTGTTGCTAAATTTTGTATGATTAAGAATATTTAGCCTTTTATTACTATTTACGGTTAGTACTCTTGATTTTGTAAATGATTATAAGCAAAAAAAAAACTTTCACCAACGTTTTATGTAGGATAGTTTTAGCAAATATTTACCTTTTAGTAGCAAAAAAACTTTCACCAACTTTTATGTAGGATAGTTTTAGCAAATATTTACCTTTTAGTTTTTGAAAGACTGTGTGAATGATTATAAACAAAGAACTTTCACCACCATTTATGTGGGATGGTTGGTTAAGTATCTCTACATCGACGAAAAATTGGCATTCAACATTTACTTTTTGATCGTCTCGAAATAATAAGCGATCAACATACTATGGCATTTTGCTTCTTCCAAGTCTTGTGGTCTCATTTTCTTTGTCACTCAATCCTAAGTTTGTAGGCTTCATTGTTGCTCCATCTCTAAGTTGCGAGTTTCATCGTGGCCCATTCCTAGAGATTTTGTTGTTTCTCTATCTTCATCGTCCCGAGATTTTGTCATCGCTCAATCTCCAATTTCAATTTAGGAGGCTCCATTGTCAGTCTACATCTCGCTCTTTCAAATATTTGCTAAAACCACCCCACCTAAATGGTGATGAAATTCTCTCATTATAATCATAAAATAAATTATAAGAATATAGAAAGAATAATAAATAATAAATAGATACAAATATTTATCTAAATTAAAAGGGCAAATATAATAACTATGGTAAGCGAAAGTGAAATATCTAGATATTTGTCGGTAATAAAATATTAAATATGATAAATTATAATTGATGCCTAAATATCTATTATCTCCAAGATGTCGCACACCTCATGTTCATGGTGTCACTTTTTGCCTGAAGTTCATGCTGCACTTTGTGCACCCTAAGTGCAAGTTGTTGCTCACCCGCCTCAAATCCCAATTGTCGCTTCAACTACTCTCTTCAAGTTCAAGATTGAGCATTGCATGATTTTAAGAACCAATATTATCAGTCTCTTAAAGCTAAGGTTCGAGCTTTATTTCCTTCAAGTTTCACGTTTGATGCCCGTTCGAATATCGCCTCAAATCCCAAATGCTTTATTTACATATTTTTTATTTGACTAATTAAGGGGAAGCTCATAAGTTTATAAATAAGAAATACGATCTCCATTGACATGAGACATTTTGTTAAAATCAAAAGCAAAATCATGAGTATTCATGCTCAAAGTGGACAGTATTATATAAGTTTGTCTCTCCTAATATGGTATTAGAGTAAGGTTGGTGTAGGTTGTTTAATCCCTTGAAATTCTTAGTATGCTACGTGGGAAGAGGATCATCATCCAAACTACACACATTTGGTTAAATGGGTGCTTCTGAAAAGACTACGAAGAAGCTCCATAAAATTCGAATTGTCAGAAGATGGAAAAAGAAATTATAGCATTGAAGCAAAATCAAATCTGGGAACTAGAGTTATAAGGCTTGAGTGGTTAGTCATCTCTTGCAAGCAAGCATACAAATAAAGCGTCGCCCCGATGGATCAATCAAGAGATACAAGGCTTGATCGATTAGTTGCTCGAGGATTCGCCCGAATGAATCAATTGAGAGATACAAAACTTGATGGTTGTTCGAGGGTTTTCTCAACAATATAGTATGACTATGATAAAACCCTTAGTCCAGTGGTGAAAATCACTACTATATCGGTCCCACTAGTACTTGCGGCAAGTAAAAATTAGAAATTATGGCAGATAAATGTGAAGAATGCTTACTTGCCCGAAGAGTTGGACTAGAAATTTACATGAACACAAACCAAGTAGCTTTAAGAGTACAATTGGTATCACAAGTCGGTACAACTAATCTGCAATTTTCCTAGTAGAAAATTAAATATTTCATGCTAGAACAAAGCATGTGGGGGTGTACTACCATTTTATTAGAGAGAAAATCCTGAATGAAGAATACAAATAACCCAGTGGCAAACTTGTTTACAAAAGAGCTGAATACTAGTAAATATGAAGGCTTTTGCTGTCAGCTCAGTGTGGTACGACAACTGAGAACTAGTGATGGGGGAGTGTTAAAATATCATCCCTAATCCAATAGGGTATATTTTAAGAATAAAGGTATATATATGTTTTAGAAATAAATAGTCTAGCCTTACTCTAAGCTTCCACCCTATTAATTTGTAGTATAGTACCCTTTATAGACTCTCTTGTAATCTTCTCGATTGGTCTTAATAAAAGCTCGAATTTTTCCCACAAAATAGTTGTGTTTAGGCCTTTTAACTTATCAATGTCAATAGAATTCTCAAATGTCGAACAAAAAAGTTGGGAGTCTCAAATGTGTAATTAAAGTGACTCAAATATCAAACAAAATGTGTACTTTGTTGGAGGGCTCTAGAGAAGGAGTCTAGTCTCAATTAAGGGGAGATTGTTGGAGGGCGTCAGAGAAGGAGGCCTCAGGAGAGGCTCTATGATTTACTTTCTTCGAACGAAGAATTGTTGAGAATTATTGGAAAGAGTAACCCCAAGTTGGCTAATACTCAAAGTGATCTCCATTGATACGATGCCACTCGAGAAAATTAAAAACAAAACTGTAAGAGCGAGGTCCGTTGTTTCTAACGTCTATCATAATCAAATAGAGTGACTTCAACTCGCACCTACCTCGTACCATGGGCTTCAACTCACACCTACCTCGTAGCATGTGCTTCAACTCGCACCAACCCCAGCGTATTAAACAAAGCTTTGGCGTCTCGCACCTACCACATCCCATGTGAAGTGGACTTAACACAGCTTCATCGTCTAGGATACTCCGCCACTTTTAACTTCTTGCATTTCATTACGAGTAAAACATTTGATTCCCAAGTGTTATAATAGCTTTTATAAATGCAAACACTAACACGAATTCCAATAATTTAAATCATGATGCATTTAAATATGAAATTGCTCGCAGATATTGTCATTTTATCTTGTTATGTATCATCATCAGCCTCACGATTTTAAAACGCGTATGCTAGGGAGAGGTTTTCACACTGTTCTCCTCTCCAACCGGTGTGTGGCCCAGCGTACTGATTAACACACCGCCCTGTGTCTAGTTCTGATACCATTGGTAACAGTCCAAGCTCACCGCTAGCAATTATTGTCCACTTTAGTCGGTTACGTATCGCGGTCAACCTTAAGGTTTTAAAATGTGTATGTTAGGGAGAAATTTCCACGCCCTTGTAAAAAATGCTTCTTTCTCCTTACCAACCTACGTGAAATCTCACATTTATAATCATGGTTTTTCCATCATATTTTTTTTAGACATTTCTAATTCATGATTTCTCGTATAACATATGCATAATTATATTCATGGTATATCGTATAACATATATATGTATAACATGGTGTTTTCTATAACATATACATAACCATATCATTAGCAAATAATTTTAGTCAACATAGTAAGTGTTATTCATGCATCAAACAATTCATCCAACCTAATTCTTCCACAGTCCAATAGATGAGAATGGATCTTAAAACTCATTTGTAAAACTACACTCACCAAATTATCCTAAAATCAACTTAAATATCGACCCAAGTAGCCTAAAAAATTCATTAAACCGGCCTAAACCACCTAAAAACCCCTCGAACTAGCTAAAAAATGGTTGAACCATAGTTGAAATGATAAAAAAAAAAAAAAAACGTTTAGAGTTGTCGAGCTACATACAAGTTGCATGGTGAGGCTGAGTCACATGTGAATCGACTTTTCATTATTATAAAAATGACTAAAATACCCTTACACTTTATTTTTCAGATGTCTCCCATCTTTCCATCTCTTCCACAACTTTACTTGCAACCACTGGTTCCCATTTCCCATGAGTTCATCACGCGATTTCAAAATAAATTTGAACTTATTAATCCATAAAGTTTAATAAGTGTCTTTTATAATAATTTGACATTATTAGAAGAATTTCGAAGATAGAGAAAATGGTAAAAACTTGTATATAAAATAAGAGATTAGTATACTTTCAAAAATAACTTTTATGAGTTTGTCCATCATTAACGTATCTATATTTTATCAAGATAATCGTGAGATAAGAATATCATCAACATAGGCCATTTGGGATCATGATCCTATGAGCCCACAACCAACATAGGCCATTTGGGATTACACTTACAACTAAACTACTAACTTTGGTGGCACCAACAAAGCCCTCATTTGAATAAGGATAAGGATAAGGATGAAGATGTCCCTAATTGATATTCACTTTAAACTATACTTCCATAATTTCCTCCTCATGTTTGTGCTCGAATCTCGATTTTTTTGGATCTATGCACGTGCCTAAATTTACGTTAAAAACGTGTGCAAAATAATATATCATATTTGATGATCTTTTTTTCCTTTTAAATATTACCAAGTGTTCTTTAATATCAAGGTTTCATTACTCCTATTCTTCCCCATATTTTCTTTGCATATATCAAAAGAGACAAAGCCATAACTTTTCGAAGATTTTCAAGCTCCCAACGATGGCGAACAACTCCATCCATAATCCATCTGTGTCGAGATCCGACCTAAAACTCATAGAGAAGAATAGAGGAGAGGAAATGAAAGCCCTTTTCTCGAGGCTCCATTCTCTTGTCCCAAACAAAAGCGTAAGGATTTTTTTTTCCTATACTCTATTTTTATCGTGTTTGGTTGATGAGAAAATTTGTTGAAATAACTCCAAGAAAATTTTGAGTTGGGTGCAGGAAGGTGAAACGATGTTGTCGGATCAGATAGAAAACGCCACGAATTACATAAATCAACTCAAAGAGAATGTGGAAAAATTGAAAGAGAAGAAAGAGAAGCTAATGAGATTGGGAGAAGAAAGTACAATGGTGCAAGTTGAAGCTCGTATAGTGGGTTCTTCATTGGAGTTTCTTTTGACTACTAGATTTGATTATCACTCGATTTTAAGACAAATCCTTCAGCTGCTTCAAGAAAATGGAACTGAGATCGTTCATATCAACCGGTCAACGGTCACGGATCGAATTTTTCACAAGATAATTGTTCAGGTATGATAATAAATCAAATTTATCCTATTAATTACATGAATCAATATAAATTATCCTCTAATTAATTATATAGATGAATTGTATTGAGTAAGAAAATTGATAATATTTGTGACGACTGAAAATTAGATGGTTGGAGAAGGGATGAACTCAGAACGCGCCGAAGGTGAAAGGATCTGTGAAATAGTGAAGAAGTTTGTTTCACAATACAAAGATGGACAAAACATTGATTGATTCGAAGGTTTATGATGTATGTCCTCTTTTGGTTGAATGTTTCAAAATCTTGGAATTCAATTCTAAATAAGAATAGAGTAGCGATTGGTGAACATGTATTATCTACCATTGTTAAAGTCGAGTAGGAATTCCTTGAGAATAAACCTTACCTTCACCGTGATTTAAATAGATTTATAGTTCTTAAGTAACTTACCATTTATTTGAAGTGAACTAAATATTTCTAACCAAAGTAACCCGAGGCTGAGCTCTAAATTATTAGAAAATCAAAATTTTTCGTTGTTAGATAGTTCATTCTCAGTTTTTTCTTGCTTGATGAATATAGTTAGTTCTCATCACTCTCATTTTAAATTCTAGTAAATTCTAGTATTAATATAATGTGGTGTATCAATAGTATATCAATACTCGTTACAAATTCGTAATTTTAAATATATCAATACTTACTTATTCTACCTTGCCCTCCTTTCGAACTTAGCTTGATGTTCACTAGACAGCATTGACATATCCTCTTGTGAAACATCCCATATAAGACACAAGGTGGTGGCTTACGAAATACAAATGTGCTCGTTCCTTGGAAAACTCCTATGGGATGAGTGACCTATTCTCTTCCCCCATTTAACACAGCTGCCTCATCTGCAACAATGCCATCCCCATAAGGACTTGTATTATACTCAATTTAGCATTTGACAAGTGCATGTCTTACTTGACTCCTCGCTTCTTTGGCTTGCAACCATTGATACTATTCTTCTAATGTGAATGGTTCTTTGAAAGATACTCAACCTGATTTGTCTTCTAATTTACTATTGTCCACTTCAAAAAAACTCAAGCAAATGAGCTTGGTTCTTGTTTTATTATAGGTAGAACTCCCTCACTGATGTAACACACACGACACTCTAGCACTTGGGGGAGTTTTTGGTTCTTGTTTTACTATAGGTAGAACTCCCTCACTGATGTAACACACACGACACTCTTGCACTTGGGGGAGTTTTGGCTTCAATGCTCAACATTATCTAATCTTGACAGCACAACTACCCTGTCGAAACTGACACTCTTGACACACTTGTGTTGTCTTCATTCAACCCTTTTCCTGCCATTCTTGTTCAACTAGACACATAAAATGTGGCTTATTATCACGATTGTACATTTTAACCGTGCAATGTCTTGTTCTTGACACTCTCATGACAAGTCTTAAGGAGAACCTAAGCCCCATATATATATTTTGCTCAATTTTGTAGCTTTGTCGGACCTTAGGTGAGATTTGCAGAATCTAGATTCTACACCTGATGACTTTGACCTTTTCCTTTATCCTCTATGATATGGTCATGCTACTTACTCCTCGCTTAGTGAAAACTATCCCCACAAACCAACAGAAGTCCTTTCAGCATAATTTTTCCTCACTCACATGCATAGTAAAAAAAGCAAAGAATTAATTGGTATTGGTACCGTGCACAAACCCTAAACCCTAATATAAAACATCATAATAAATTAAAAAATATTTTAGAAGAAAAAAATATACTTCAACCTAACATTTAAAAATTCTACTTTTAATACTATAATATCATCTTCAACATTTAAAAAACAACACTTATTAATTTATTTACTAAATAAAAAAAAAAAAAAAAAAAAAAAAAAAAAAAAAAA